GCTTGGGGGTGCCAGCAGGGGGTGCTGTGGGGAGTGGGGCAGGAGCTGGCTTGGGGGTCCCAGCAGGGGGTGCTGTGGGGAGTGGGGCAGGAGCTGGCTTGGGGGTCCCAGCCGGGGGTGCTGTGGGAGCGGGGCAGGAGCTGGGCTGGACTCCCAAGAGGTGGTGCTGTTGGAGTGGGGCAGGAGCTGGCTTGGGGGTGCCAGCAGGGGGCGCTGTGGGGTCCAGCGGCTGTGGGGGGGCCCTGTCTCCTCCTGCCCCAGCAGGGGGGCACTGTAACCCAGCCCCATCTCCTCCCCCCCCAGGTTGTCTATAACAACAGCTCCCCAGTCTGGGACGATGCCTTCCGCTTCTTCCTCCAGGACCCGGCCAATCAGGACATCGACATCCAGGTGGGGCCCGCCCCCTTACTGCCAGGCCCCACCCCCTGGTCCTAGCCCCACCCCTTCCCCTGTAACGGGAGCCCTTCTGCCCCCTGCAGGTGAAGGACGACACGCGCCAGACCAGCCTGGGCTCGCTCAGCGTCCGTCTGTCCCGCCTGCTGACGGCCGAGGACATGACGCTGGACCAGTGGTTCCAGCTGGAGAACTCCGGCCCGAGCAGCCGAATCTACATGAAGCTCATCATGCGGGTGAAGCCAGGGCAGAGGGATTGGCCCCGGGGTGGGGGGTGGATCTCGGGGGGGAGGGGGTCCCCCAGGAGCTGAGATCTCTGCAGCCACCATCAGCTGCCCCCAGGGAGGGGGTTCATCCCAGTGGCACCCCAGGGCCGTTAACGTCGGCTGCCCCCACCGTGACGCCCAGCACCGCTCTCCCCACAGATCCTGTTCCTGGACGCCCCCGAGGTCTGCCACACCTCCCGGCCGTGCGTCCCGGGAAAGTCGGATGTGGAGACCGGCAGCAGCGTGGACTTGCCGCCGCGGCCCAGCCGCGCCAGCCCCGACGCCCAGTTCGGCACCGAGGTACGGGGGGTGGGGGATGTGCTCACCCCCAGCGGGACGTATGGACCCTGCACCCCGAGGCGGCTGGTTCAAATCCGGCCCAGGGCACCGGGTGCTCACCGGGCTCCTATCAGGGTGGAGACGCCAACGGGCAGTGGAGATGGAGCCCTCACGGGGGCAGCGAGCCTAGGGCTGGCTCGGGGGGGGCCCGCCTGTGCAGCGTAGGGGGCAGCTGTGGGGGGGAACCTGCCCCCGAGCAGATCATGTGAACGCTTCTCCCCCCCCCCCCCAGAGCGTGATCCGCATTCA